CTTTTATTACTTTTGATTTTCGTAATATTATGAAGGTCTTGTCAATTTACTACCTCACACTTCAGATCTACTCGTATTACTTCAGAGCGATTTATAGCCTAATAAATCTGACTAAATATTGAGAACTATGATTGAGAAGAATAAGTATAATGTTGTAGCAGTGCTTTCAACTATGTAAGTAATAGGTACCTCCACATATTTTTTCCACCATTATCGAAAATGAAGATTGACCTATTATACCTCAAAGATTTTTCACTAAATTAGTGACTAGAATTTTCATTAATTTCGGTAAGTATTTACTTCATGACTTGTGTTTAAAATTATACCTACCATGTCTTCCAATTCCTTATTTGTTATTCTCAATCATATCCTTCAAAAACACTATTTATGTAATAGTGAATTGCAATTATATCATAATTAGTACCAACTTCTTGTAAATGAGATTATTTCAGCCACAATATTTGATTAGTCTTTACTACGTCTTTCGTGGCTTTACAAGCTTAATTAAACATTATCTATGTAAACAAAACTTGTCTAGACTTAACCAAACCACAGCGTTAATAACCTAACAAATATTATGTAACTGTTTAAACTTTATACCACACTTTCTTACGAAATAAGACCGCTATTCTAGCGCAACTGTTGTATTTACCGTTTACATAGTATTTCATTACCGTCCTCAGAACTTATATCACCAAAGGAAAATAAAAGTAATATAAAAATATTCGCATTTTTTTATTTAGTAGTGACATTCAGACATCATCAGTTATGTACAATAGAGGTTATATTTATTTCTTTTAATGATAGGTAAAACAACGAGGCATACTTTCACAATAATATTAAATCATGTAAGATAAAGCTTGTACCTAGCTGAATAAAAAAAATAGCGATTAGATTATAATAGTTCATGAGTGAATAATATCATCATTATCATCTTAAAATCGGTAGCGCAACATCCTGAGGTTTAAAAAATGAATGAGAATCCATTATGTCACGGATAAAATTTTAAACCATTTTTTTGTAACCGAAACAAAGTAAGTAGAAAGTTCTTTTCGTAGCGGAACGTAATTTGGGGGCGTTTTCGGAATCTTCTTCATACCGCGCGGCTTAGCTGTGAAAATTTCATCAGTTCGGGTAAGCTTTCCGCTGCCACAGTCAAAATAAGAGTCAGAAAGTCATCTTTACTGTACACCACATCAGGCTTGATACCGACGACCTGACAAAGGTAGCAGGAAGGCGCTGGATGCAGGCCGCTACCAACCGTGCGATGTGAAAGTCATTGGGGGAGGCTATGTTCAGCAGTGGACGTCCTGTGGCTGAAATGATGATGATGATGATGATGACATCAGGCTTTACGCTTTTGTTACAAAATCGTACCTATTGCAAGTACATAAGGTGGGTTTACCAGTGGTTATCTTGTCATCTACACAACACGAGACAACGCAGTAGGGCGGGTGGAAGATGGCGCTCCAATACCATACACACATTTTTACTCTTGCTTATTCGAGTTCTTCTTGAAATTAATTGTTCCATTTTCATCTTTTACTGCATCATACTCTGTCAAAGCATAAAAAATAAAAGTTAAACTCGGATAGATTTGGAATACAGCGAGTGACTTATTTGGCAATAAATATATTTTTGAAAAATCTTTGCAGTAGTTGAGTTTATTTTTTTACATTCTCCTAGACTGTGTCCAAAAGGCTCTTACGCAATACAATCGTGTTCTAACAAATAAAGCTGATTGTTATAACTTAGCCGATTTTATTGCCCGGCGTTTTCATAAAACCGGAGTTCCCCTTAGTTTAGAATCTGTCGGGTTTTTATTACCGACCCGAATGACTTTAGTAGCAAATTTTTTTTCCCACCCAAAGTTATTATGGTTCGATGTGATTCATTTGGTAAGGTCGAGAACATTCTGATATACTTTTGATTTACGTTGTTAAAGCTTAAAAATAATAGTAATTTTATTTAAACTGCGATATTTTTTTATCATTAGAAATACATTAAGAAAAATAATTCACATTAAAATTACATAACCTACAGAAAAGAGGTAAAGTAGGTATTGTATCTCCTTCCTGTCTACCTCATATCAATGAAGGTACAGGTAAAAATAACAGACCGTTATCTAAAACCGCCCTACGTCGGTTCCAGCCGCCCAACTTTCCTGCGATTCAGCGGGCGGGCGGGCTTCCCACGTAACTTGAAAACGTTTGATTTGAGCAAACACTGACTATGACTGTTAGACACTGGATGAAAATGTTCTAAACTTCTTTTCGAAAAATAACAGAAAAGTCTGAACCATTCAGATGAAGAGAGCAAACTATTCGTGTATCTTTAAGTCGAATTTATTTAAGAATAAATGAATAATCGTGCGGCTCTGTTAAAAATATGAACTTCTTATACAAAGATACTAGAAAAAAATATTGCAAAACTGACGCTGGGCAAGCAAAGTCCTAGATTCGTTTTCCACCTGAGGCAATCGAGTAAGTATTTCAAGTTATAAATTAATTGAGGATTGTATGTGTTAGCATCAGGTGACCTAACATGATTATGTTACTTCTTGTTCATAAAAAATATTACGGCTTAAAAATAATTAATGGTATGTGACCTTCAGGTCTTTCCTGATAATGAATGGTTTATTTTAAAAGGGAAAATCTTTTTACTTTTTGCCCAAAATTTTAAAAATTATTTTCATTTTACCTGGAACGCAAACTTAATAAGAGCATGAACCATTTCTCATTTTACTTAATTAGAAAATTTTCGTTAAAAAGGTCATTATTTAATTATGAAAAAAAGAAGGCACGGTATTAAATGAAGATGTAGCATTTAATAAGTTAAATTTAATAAAGTTGGATCTACGAAATGAAGTTATAAAATTAAATAACTTCTATTTCACAAAGTGGTTTACGTAGATTCTTAGAAAAAGAAATGAAAAATCAGTAGCAGCAAACTTCCGCATTTTTCATTTACATTCTAATAGAATCGTTATGGTAACTATTGGTAACGTATGCAGAGTTCGTTTTCGCGTACGACTGAGTCCAATTTTCCTCGGATCCGAGGAAAATCTGGGGCATTAAGAGAAGTCTTACAATTTCTTAACATCGATATTGCGGGGTCAACGAGCGAAGACGAAATTATAAGAGCTTACACAACGATAACTTTGTTTTAAGTGCTTAATCTTCTTATTTTAATATTCTCCTACTTATGAAAGTTATCTTTATTTTGCATTCTAAAGTAATGATATTTAATATTATTGAGAAAGTATGCCATCGCTATAGCAATTGACAACTTTACTGAAAATAATTTTGAAAACTTAACACAAACTTATTTTGCGTCACTTAGTAGACCGATAACTAAAATATTATTTTTACACAATTCGGTAAGAGCCAAACTTATTAGGTACTTTAAATCAGCTTTTCTTATTGACGTAAAAATGAGGGCTTACCTACCAAAAACAAAATTCATTAAATTATTTGTTACTAGAACTCTCGTCTTCATTATTAAAACCCATGTAGATACAGTTTATACATAAATCATAAATGTTAAAAGTGCAATTCTGTAGGTACAATATTTATAAGAAGAAAAATGTCTTTCAAGGTCTTATTTAGAACCAGTGGGGTCCAATTTTAGTAAAAAGTCCGAGGTATGTTGGTGACATGTTAAATTTGAAACAAATTGGTGTGAAAATGAATTACTTTTTATCCACCAAAAACAATTTGAGAATTATTTTATATTGAAATTGGTAGAGTAACACAAGAAAAAAATATTATTTCTATCTTTCATCTATGTTTTTAAGACAAAATAAATCAAGCTGTAGTTACAAGTTCAGAATAAACAGTTTCAGTCTTAATATTAAAATTTTTCAAATAAATACTTTTTAGCAAAATTAACATAGGCCGTTATGAATCGCTAATAACTCAACCTATTATAAAAGATAATAATGCTCAATAACGTAAATATTGCTAGTAATAATAATTAGTTTCAATGTTTTGAGTTTCAAGACTAATAGAAAGTTAACAATTTTATTTTTAATTAAACATGTGCAAATTAAGGATTACACAGTGACATTAGGATAACTTAGAATAAACGTTGGCATCGCAAAAGATCTATTTCCCATAAAAATGCTATTTACAACCGTGAATATCAATACCTAGGACTGATAACTTCAGAAAAGGGGCCGTCCATATATTACGTCATTCTAAATTAGGGGGGGGGGGTTGGTCTGCGGATGACGGTANTCAATTTTGGGGGAAGGGGGGGGGGGTCATTAAGAAATGACGCTAGGATGATTGTAGGGGGGGGGGGTCTAAAATCTGAAAAAATCGATGACGTAATTTATGGACGGCCCCAAAGAAAAGTGGCACTGTTTTATTTTTTACCTTTTATCTTAAAACAAGGGCCAGAAGTTGACATTTTTCAGTCTTACATACACTGTAACCTATTCGTTTTAAGGTGGTTCTATGCCAGATGTGCCGAGCACAAGCTGAGCGCAAGCTGAGCCGTTCTAGCCAAACGTTCGCTCCACGCTACACGAATTCTGGCTCGGCTCGTGCTCCGCTCATGCTCGGCTCGTCTAACGTAGACCCACCTTTGGATGTGACGTTGCGTTTATTTCTCAAAGTACACAATCATCAATAAATTAAATTAGCTCGCCTTTAACTTTAGTAGCTTGTTGGCACATCGATATTTACACACAAACATATTTTATATCACACTGCATCGTATATTATATCTTATAACAACATATTATCTCGAATAATCGTTGTCATACAATCGATTTTAACTGGCATATTATTTACATAATAATTTCGTTTTTATGATTTTTTGATTATTTATACCAAATTCAATAATTCAACTTGTTTAATGGAACTTAATTACATATTAGAAAATGAAAATATTTCAACAACAAATATAAAAAACAATATTTACACGTTTTTGATAAATTCATACCTAAATTGTTTTCAACAAATAACTGAACGTTTAAAACAATGTCCCTTGTATCTATCCTTACCCTAGCTTAGTTGATAATAATTTATGTGCATTTAAAACAAAAATATAGACACATTTAGTCTTATAATATTATTAAAAACACTCTCACAGCGCCACGTTGTGCAGAAAATGTAATTATTTAACTTTAACCGTCACTTGTTTTATTTATTTGTTGTTCTATTTCACTGAAGGCACTTGTCTACTCGCCAACGCGAGCAACGTCCACAGAGTCAGTTCTGTTTGAAGCCTGTACCCACTATTGCTTGCGACTGCATCTGGAACAAAACGAAGCATTTTTACTGTTGCTATATTATTTTTCTACATTCGTGTCGCAAACGGTTTGTCAGCCAGTTCGCGTACTAGACCATCTTATCTTTTTACTAACTCTGTGCTGTTATATCGTGGGGGCTTCAATTAATAATGCCATAAATAACTGCAATCATAACTCTAGTGTAAATCTTAATAAATAGGCCGATGTATGACATGATTCAATTGTATTTCATACCTGTGATATAACTAATAAATTCTAATTCTGAACTGACTGTACCTAAACCCTCAAGAAATGAACTCCCTTTTCGTTGATACGCCTGAAACCAAAAAACTAACATAAAATAATAAGTGTCCTCTCTGGAAATCGAACGCAGGACCTCCTAATAGACGGAGCCCAACTGTCTAACAAGTATCTACCTCTACTGTATCGTGTTCATATTTGATGATTTATAAAAATCTAAACTTGAACTTAAAGAATCAAAACTTCTTTCATAAACCAACAGTCCAACATCTAAAATTATTGCAACCTAATCTCTCTTTTCCATACATTCCAGAATCCCAATCGATCCCCAACATGTAGTTACGAACGTTGGAAAAACTTTCCGTCGTTTAAAACTCATTTATGTAATAAATTCCACATTCTTTCTCCCCCTTCATTCCTTTTAGTTCCTGATTTAAGTCACGCTATCCCTTTCGCTCGTGCTAGCATTAGTTTTTGTCCCGCTCTGGCTAATGTAGCCGGATTTTCTATGCATTGATTTTGAATGGAATCTTTTAAAGGAAAATCTATTTTAAGTAGAACTGTGTAAAGTAAGTAACGGTTCAAAGAGGATTACCACTGTATTTAATAGGAAGGTTTGTGTAGTGGTAAATCTCTGAAATAGGTATTTTTCCAAGAAGGAAAAGAAATCACAAGATTTTCCTTGTTTAGTGCTCTTCACACATATTTTTTGATACTCGTATATGTTTCTGAACACACGATAACAAAATTAATCCGAAAGTAAGTTAGTTTTAGGTACCTATGTGTCGTAAGCACGTTACATAAGCTTCAGAATCAATTTTTAATTAATTTCAGAATACCTACCTAGAATCTAGATTAAACTTTGGTGAAGGACGTAGGCAGGTACGCTTTTAGGGAAAACAGTTTGATACGGGTACTAACTCAAAAAGTCCGTGTCATTGTTACGCCAAACAAATTTACGGCTGGCGTTATTTTAGGACTGGAACTTTTGATTGTGATAAAACTCATTCTGTTACAGAAAAATCTGCGTGAGACAACCCGCGGCAAGGAAATAGTCAATTTTATTATTGTTGCAAAAAATATTATAACTTTATTATTTCTCTCATTCATCATATAACAAGCAAATTAAGCCAGTATACACAAACATTACAGTGCGCATGGACGCACAGGGTGACACATGAAACAATCACAGAGCTCTATTCAACGCTGTGCGATTTGCTGCTTCACTTATGCAAGTGTCGTTAAGGGCGTAAGTCAAATCAGTGAGCATTGGACACTGTAGATCTCTTAATTATTAAAATTTTCTAGCGTCAAGAGTCGTCTTGTCTCCGTTTTGTATTGATACAATTCAAATTCAAATGTCTGTCTGTAAACCCCGCCATACTTGTTTGCTCGCCGGCGCAGAACCACTTTCAGTCATAAGCGAGAGGGTAACGCGTATTTCCTTATACCTTTACTTACGTTAGGACCCTCCCACTTTGATCCTCGCGGCGTTGTCACGTCATACGCCCCGGGCCCAGATCAAATAAATTTTCATAAATAATATTATACTGTCCTTTTTAATAATTTAATTTAATAAGAATTTTTGTGGCACAAAAATAAAATGTTTACGATCAATCGAAAGGTAAGGTCTTGGTACGCCTCGATCGATTACTAAGGCTGGGTTGCACCACCTAACTTTTGACCGTAACTATAACGATAACCGGTGTATTTGTATGGAGTTTGAAAGATTTTTGACGTTTGTCAAAGTTAAAGTAAGATGGTGCAACCCAGCCTAAAAAGAAGAAGAGTGGGTACCTAATATTATTAACTCGTGATGTGACGCAAAATAAAAACTGTCACAGACAGTAACAGAAACAATAGATTGTCTATTAATACCAAAAAAATTCCCACAATTTTTTTTATATTATTTTTGTTTGTTCGTTACTCAACTGCATTTGCGATTTTGCTCATTAAAATCATCGCCCATCACGTAAATTTTAACAATAAATAAATGAGCAAGAAGACGTCATCATGTCCTCAAAAACAAAAGAGCATCTCCTCAAGATGCGAAGCGCCTCCAATAAGTCCTGTCACGAGTCCTGTAATGGAGCATGAGCCCGCGGATTACTCAATAAAGCATATTAGTCTAAATTACGTCGGAAAAAACCTCCGGAGCGAGTGATGCTGTCGTAAACTGGGCGGACGCGGCCAAGCGGGAGATGAGTGGGACTTGGGGTCCGTATGCAGTTTTTAATGCTTTTTTTATAGATCGAAGACGCGCCCACCAATTTGTGGGAGTTTGATCCGAGCAATCCGAGCGACATTATGGTAGTGTGCGTGTGCTCATGGATATTTAGCGTGTACCGATAACACTCAAACATTAGCGGAAGAATGGTGGGACGCGTCTTCGTGGATGAAACTATTTATAGACGCTGGTGACACAAAATCTAATAATGTTAGTGGCGCTTTTTTCCGTGGGAAAATGCTTTGCACACGACCATACTTTCCACTAGCCGTCCCTGGGGTCAGGCAGTGGGTTATGTGGGATGGTATCCATATGAGCCAATGAAACGGAGCCACGAGCTATTATCCTAACCTGGACATTCGTCCGTAGCTCAGGGTGGTGACTTAGTGTACACTTAGACCTGCCGCTTAGAAATAAATGATAGCACAAGAAATAAAGAAAAAAATGGTTTGTGATAACGTTTGATTTAGAAAATAACCGGCAAATGCTTACCTATCGTCCTGTTGTGCAGATATATCAGATACATTATATGTCAAGTTCATGAATCTGGGCATGGTCATCATTTAAAACACAGCAGCACGTCAAAATGTCAGACACCATGGCAGAGTCACTATATCCCTGGCTAGATAATTCAAAATTATTAAAGTAACGTTACCGTCACTTCAAGTCTTGTTATTAATGAATTCGTCAGGGTTCTTTTACGATTACGGACCCCTAATAAAATGGCGCCCTCACTGCCGTTTATCCCGGTCTCCGCTGAGCCTGCTGCTAGAATATATCAGGGTTTATACTCGTTCCTAATATTATTTAAACGGCAAATATATTTTGGCGCGAGCGAGATTTCTTGAAAGCTTCCATGAAAAGGATTTCAGCCCGAAGTGCGTTCAAAATGCTATCCACTCGACTTTCCTCAAAAATTGTTTCGTTTTTGGTTAGGTTTTTAGAAACAACGAAAGCTACGGAAATGAATTTCATTTCCCTTCCAAACGTAAAGGTAAAACCAGAAACTGTAATTCCAGGTAAGAGCTGCATTTGTTTAGCACAAACACTAAGGGAATTCTGGGTAGACCAATTTTTATACTCTTGCTTTGGGATCACTAAGGCGACTGAGCTAAACATGCGATAATCAGGCCTCAAAAACCAGTGTAGAGAGAGTGCCGTGCTCCTGCAGTGGAGGCTAAAGGACCTGATGATCAGGCTTTTGGTAACATAAAGCTGAAATGATACTTACTATTCTTACTAAACATATACGACGATATATGGGGCCGACTAGCCACGTACAGCCGCACAGACATGCTGCGAGCGTGCGGCGGGCGCGTGGCGAGCGTGGCGCGGCACCGCAGCGACAGGTAGCCGCGGTGCGTGGGGTAGTCGTCCGGGAACACGTGCAGTGTCCGCCACGATGCTCGAAGGCCTTCCCCGTCCGCGCCGGACACGTGTGTCGTGCCGGTTATGACGGGGTCCTGGGGAAGAGACGAACGATATGAATAAAGAAAAATCTCGGACAGACAGACAGACATATCGCTCACCTAGCAGTATAATGACACATCTACATTTTTCTTATTTTACAGAAATGAGGGTCAAAGATTTTACAAATGTTTGAAACGAAGTTATGAGTTCATTTTACATTTTATCATGGATTTTATGGTTTTAGCAACTAGTATAGACCTTAATAGATACTTAGGGATAAAAAAATCCAGTTCAGGTTTCCAGGAGTTACTTCATAGCAGTCAAAGAAGAAGAAGAACCATGCAATTGTGCCGTTATACTTTTTGACAACTACCAAAAATGACATATATGCCCCAAATCCATAGTTAAACAGGGTGAGCGATATCTAATATAAGGGTTCCTTGTCAGGACTACTGAACCCTAAATAACGTTTATTATCTAATGAAAATTCCCGTTTATCTCTGGATTTTGGGTTGGAAGCATTGGAGCATTAAAGGTAACAACAAAAAATCCTCAATTCTAATTTTTAATTCTTCTTTCTTTATGGTTATTCTGGGGACACCATGAGAAAGGAACTTGTTGTGTCCCAAGCTCGCTTTGTGGTGTTGTGCTAATAACATTAAAATTGCACTAACATTTCACGTACCATAATAGATAGGCTTGCTAGGGAGTTATGTTACTATTGAAGGAATATCACTGAAAAAAGGTTTTCTCGATACTGAAGTCTATAAACATGTTATCTACCGCTTTCAAGTAAAATGAAGTCCTTATAATATATTACTTTAGAACTCCTTTCCCTTTCCCTTGCATCCTCCAAAAGGAACTAATTGAAAATGCCTTTACAACCGAGGAATCTTGAGAGTAGCCACTGATTCTTATTCCCGGATACTTTGGTAATTTGAAAGCTTTTGGTGAATTAATCATGTTGATGATAAGTATTTTATATTAAGGCTTGGTATTTCTGCTAAAGTAGGTATTTCGCGCTGTCAAAATCTGCGCGCGCAATTCTTCGCCGAAGACAGCGCGCCAAAGAGCTCTCGCGGCTACACAGTATAGAAATACGCAGTTTAGAAATACGCAGTTGGTTAGGTTAAGTTGACTTCCTTCCGTTCAAGCGTCACACTCACAGCACTTTCTAATACAAATCATATCCAAGTGATACAAATTAAAACAACTTTCAAAATTTTTGGGAATATATTTTAGAATCGAATGAATATAGAATATAACTGCCAAAGTAAACACGGTTCAAAGAGGCGTGGCGTCACCCGACCTTCCGGAAGTTCCGCGCCGGCTAAAAGAATTTCAAGATTACGTCACCCGACCTATCGGTAGATCCTCGGGAGCTTGAGCGATTGGAAAAACATTTTATGATCAGTTACTCGTAGTAGCGATTATTTAGAGCTTGGATAATAAATTATAGTTGTATTATTATACTGTGACTCATCAAAGTCATCATTGTCAAAAATATTGACAAATCGCGAACTGTCACGGCCAAAAAACTGACACGCGTCCGTCCTCCGTAAGCGCCACCGCGCGACTGATTGAGATTGTCCAAGCCGTCATGGACGATTTTTTCCACATTTTTTAACATAGTAACTAAATAAGACGCAATATAAAAATTTCATCCGTTAAAAGCCCTCAAGTTATTTCTGAACTTTAGTTTAGTAAAAGATTCAGAATCTCAAATCGCTTATTTTAAAAATAAAACCATTATTAGAAAACGAATAGAGGTAACTTTGGGAATTTATTCTATCGAGTCAACTTCATCAAATCGTGTTTCCATCCGTTAATAGCCCTAGAAAATATCCTCAACTATGCCCAATAAAAATCATAGCCTTTTATTTTACTGTTTAGTACCTCAAAAATGAAAAATGAAAACCTCATTTTCGCCATTTTCTCTGTTACCCGGCCTTAATTTATTTATCGTCCGACCAGGGTCTTTGGGCGGATTATAATTAAATAATTTTCGTTTTAAAATGTGCTTTGTAACAACCGCGCGACCACGAAGTCTTGTCTTGCTTGTTTTGCTGCGTGAAATTTAGAAGTTACTGTAGAATAAAATTAAATAAATATCAAATTGCCTTCTAATTTGTGATCAAATTAGTCAATAAGTCAATAATTTCTAAATGTGAAGTTGCCACAAAGTGGTAAGTATTTGGCCACAATCATCACTGAATTTCAGTGTAGATGCAGTCTAGGGTGGTACTTACCTTTCCAGTAAATGTCTAACTGACTGCTACTCTCACCGTGAAGAGCTGATCATAGGAATCATAGTATTTGGGAAAGATATCAGCAGGTAGTGCAGTTACTGAATTTCAGTCTCTAACTGCTTTTAACCCTTAGTCATTGGCAAACCCTTCGCGAATAATAAATCGATTTTACATCGCTTCTTATTACGTTTTAACATTATGACCAAAATGAGGGTAATGATAAAGCCTCCGACATTAATAGTAATTATGAATGGGACCGGTTCGGCCATGATTGCCTTACTGAATGGATTAATTTCCGCTACGGCCTTCCTCAGCTGAAGGCTTGCTTGCTATGAAATTAATGATTTTGATGGTAACCATTTTTTATTAATACCTTTTGGGAGCTTGAAACTGGATTATGGATTACTGATGTTGGCAGCACTGATCAGTTTATTTATCCAAATTAAAACTCTAGAAATTCTTAGTGGATTATTATAGAAAAATAACTCGTCATGAAAATGAAAATAAGAATAGAGAGACATTCATAATTAAAAGAGGTCTCTTTAATTGCAATTAGGTATTTAAAATGATCTTGTTGCACTAAGGTCAAAGGACAGTGCTTAACCTCGCTGCTGTACTTGGTCAGGTTCTATAGAGTTTATTAGTAACAGTAGGCAGAACAACGGTCAAGTGGCCAGTTCATTTCAGTAAGTGCCCAAACAAACCTTTGTTTAATGTTTTTTATTTGGTCAGAAGTGCCTCATTGCCATAGGAAACAGATAAACGTCGTTATTGTAATGAAGGCAGTTTCCCTCAAAGTTACCCATAATTCGGGGAAAAGGGGAAAATCACACAATAAGAATTCCCGTTGGCAAACAACGAAACAATCTGTATGTGCTGCGGAACTGGCGCTAATGAACGTCCGACACGCACTTGGATATTTTCCTTCCCCTTGCTGTACTCTACCCTCTGAAAATGGGGTTTAAAATCTTAAAAATAGCTTTAAACTCATGGGTGCTATATACACGTTGAAGATACGCGTGTACGTGGATGTTATGAAAAAATCGATCGGGTGGTTGACCACAGGCAATAGGATAGGTGTATTAAATGTAATTATTGACGTTTGTCAAAGTTAAAGTAAGATGGTGCAACCCAGCCTAAATAAATATCAAAGAAGGTAATACTGTAATCCTTTTGTTCAACTTGCAATTTTGCCTTTTATGCTTTTATTCAATCTAAGAGTTACTTACTGTTTAAGCTTTAAAGTAGTTAAGAGAATTTGAACTACACGACGGACGCTTCGTCACTCGTAGACGTATCGCCTTAATGGCCATGTACGAGCACGATCGTACATCCTGCTGCACCGTCAGCATCGACCGCCGGGCGACCCATGAACCCTCAGCGTGCACCGTCGGCACTCTACACCGACGGCACACTAGCAAATACGTTTCATTGTGTACAGTAAATAACTTATGTATAAATAGCAATAGAATCATAACAATAAATAGATATCAACCGTCCGTCGTTGTGTCTCATTTCCCCCCGCTGCGGCCAAGACACCCTTAGCCGTCGCTATGATCAGTCCGGTGAGTCTGCCGGGCTGGCAGCGGGTCCCCGCCGTCTACCTGCCGTCCTAACGCTGCTGCCCTGGGCAACCTGGGAGCAGCTTCCTTCCTATCAAATCCTTATTATGTCTAAGTATCTATTGTTAGGCAGGGCTAGGGCTCTAGGGACTTAGTGTCTTAGGGAATAGGGACCCTAGGCTCACTAGGGAGTTAGTTCCCTTCCTGACCGCATATCCCGGGCACGAGAGCGGTGCCTTACAACCACTGCCTCTCGCCCGTACAGGCCATTAGCTACTAAATTAAATATACCTGGCTTAAAAGACGTTTAAAAGCAGTCTAGGATAGAGATACGGTTTTATTACATTTTCATATGACCTGACGTGCAAACTGTTTCTTACGGCAACGTCCTTTTAGCAAATTTAATGAAATATTTGAGATTCCATGTTAGATAGCTGCTCGAAATATATTAGATCTTGTTTGATTATAATATTTAATATGCGTGGCACTTTGACGAGAGATATATTAAAAGTAAAAAAGGAATTTAATTTGAATCGGATCGAAGAACAAAAGTTCGTTTTCTAATTTCAGGCTAGCCCAACGAAACGTAAGAGAAATTTTGTAATGAGATTTGGATTTTGTAGTAGATTGATTGTCTAATGAAATTGCTATAGAAGTCTTGTTCAAGTTAAAACGATTATTACTAAATTTTAGAACATAAACTTTAAATGGATTAAACGAGTTTTCCAGCGAATTGTAGGTCTTAATTGCTTACGTATCAGTAAACGTGGTCATTACAGATGGCAATGGCTGGGAAAAAAATGGAAAATCGTGTATGCTTTTAGAGGACTGAGATAATAATTATTTCTGTATGTACACAATCTAACCCCAGTATAAGTCTTGTTTTTAATTAAAAAATAACGACTTTTAATGATGTCGAATTCAGAATTCAAGTTTGAATTTTGTATAAGTACATGCCAACTGTCCTTACACTTTGTAAGAGCCTTATTCGACGTCGAATCGAAATAACGAATAAACAAACATTAATTGGAAGACGAAAAGCATTCGAGTCGGAAAGGAGAGCCATTCTCATTAGTGACCTAACGACATCTTGAATAATTTAAACACATTTTAATTGACGGATTTCGTTTCAAAACATTGGAAATCGCTTAGTCTAATTTTGTTTTTGATTGCGTTGAGCTTGGCCGTCTAAATACAGATTTGTTAATTTAACATTTGGGTCCAATCTGCTTTTATGATGAA